GTGGGATATCCAGACTTGATTATGATTGCTTTGGGGATGTCATAATTTTTGACACAAGTTATAGATTAAATAAATACAATTTATGTTGTGCTCCTATTGTTTTGTTGAACCACCACTGGCAGAACGTTCTATTTGGAGTTGGCTTTTTGTCAGATGAAACAATCGAATCATTTAAGTGGCTAATCAAATCATTTATTCGTATTATGGACAACAAGCACCCGATGACAATATTCACTGATCAGGATCAAGCAATGGCCAAAGCCATCGAAGAGTGCCTTCCGCACACAAGACATAGATTATGCCAATGGCATATTTACAAGAAATTATCTTCAAAGCTACATTGTGGTGTAAGCACCAAGAAAGTCAATGAGCTTTTTTATAAATGCATGGCTAGGTGTAATTCTGAGGAGGAGTTCGATGAACCTTGACATACAATGATTGTGTTAGGAAATCTATATGAGAATGCTTGGTTGATTAGCTTGTACAATATCAGACATAAGTGGTCAACAGCTTTCAACAAGGACATATTTGGGATGGGGATCCTTTCAACACAAAGGAGTGAGTCGACGAATAACATTTGTCATAATGCCTCTAAGCCAACAAGCACCCTCACTGAGAGTTTCTTGGGCCTTGAAAATGTCATGAGAGCTTGGAGAAGGAATGAGAGGGATGAAGATTTTAAATCTGAACAATCTGCAATTGTCCCTGCTGTGAAAAGTAGTCCTGTGTTGAGGCAAGGAGCTTTAGTTTATACGAGGAACCTATATTCAATGTTTGAAGCAGAGTTGTTACATGGTATGTGTGGTCTTGCTGTGGAGTGCTCAGCCACTTCAAATTTAGAATTTTATATTAGAAACTTAGATAATGAGCACACAGTCAGACCGTGGATTGTTAAGGTCGATAAAGGTAATTCTGAGATTACATGCAGTTGTAAAAAATTTGAAATGATGGGAATATTATGTGCACACACTCTAAGAGTGCTTAACCATGAGAATATAACAAAGATCCCTGATAAATATATTTTACTGCGGTTTAAAAATATTTAATAAAACAGTTCTTCATATTCTTGAATTAACGACATTTGAGTGAGATCCGTAGGTTTAAAAATATTTTTATATTTTATCTTCATTTTATATCTCCTTTACGAAGAATACTACCAAAATATATCCCGAGTACTGCCGTAATACAACCAAGATAGAGACGCGCGCTGGCGGAGGAATATATCACGGTTATATTGGAATATTCCTTCGTTGGATTCGCAGCCCCGCGGTTGTATCTAGCTCGTTTACTGGGAATAATACCAAAATATATCCAGAGTACTGCCGCAATACAACCAAATAAAGATCCGTCCGCAGTTGTATCTAGCTTGTGTCGAGGATAAATAAATAACACGAGAACAACACATCATCTACGAATGATTAAACGACATTTGAAATGTTTTGAAAATTTATCTTAATTGTAACTCTGATTTGTGTCGAATAACACCAAAATATTCCCGAACAGCAATAATATTATCTACTAATAATAATAATTTGATTACAGAGGTATATATACAACCATAGTATTGCAGAATGATTAAAACGAGAACAATACGACAACTACTACAAGAATGCTGGAACTTTTTTTCAACTAATAAAACAGAAATACTACCATACAACGACAACAACACTACAACTATCACTACAGGGTCTATTATTGTAAAGATTACTGCAACCAATAAAACATAAATACTACAATGAAACGACAACAATACGACAACTACTACAAGAATGCTGGAACTTTTTTTTTTTTCAACTAATAAAACAGGCAGGCAACAACACGACAACTAATAAATCTATATTGATCTTGCAACTAATATACAACTTTTTTTTCAACTAATAAAACAGAAATACGACCATAAAACTACAACAACACCACAACTATCACTTCAGGAATACTGTAAAGATTAGAGCAACCGATAAAACATAAATACTACAATGAAACGACAACAATACGACAACTACTACAAGAGTGCTGGAACTTTTTTTTCAACTAATAAAACGGAAATACCACCATAAAACGACAACAATATGACAACTACTACTTCAAGAATACTGGAACTATTTTTTCAACTAATAAAACAGAAAATACGACCATAAAACCACAACAACACTACAACTATCACTTCAGGAATACTGTAAAGATTACTCAACCAATAAAACATAAATACTACAATGAAACGACAACAATACGACAACTACTACAAGAATGCTGGAGCTTTTTTTTCAACTAATAAAACGGAAATACCACCATAAAGATTACTGCAACCAATAAAACATAAATACTACAATGAAACGACAACAATACGACAATAATACTGCAATGATCATTGTGACTATTTATTCAGGAACACTACAATCAAACGACAGTAATACTACAAGGATTAATGCAACTACTCATTCAGGAATGCTTAAATAAAAAGACAATAATCTCAGAATAATATAACGAGTAAAATACAAGAATAACAATATTAACAAAGAAATAAGTTTACTGATCACGGTTTTGTATCCATAAACAAATATCTTGGGCAAGCTCTGCCCTAAATTTTGGCATTTCTGTCTGCCAGCTCATATCCTGACTCCAATCATGTCTATAGATTTGAACTAATTTTTCCATAAATTTACAGACAAACATTCCACAATCAACACTGTTGGTTTGTACGGGAACACCTCTTACCAGTGTAATTTTCCATTTCCCGGGTTTAGCCCTGAAAGAAGCTTCGGCATCAACACCAAATTGTTTGATCTACACAGTAAAATAGTGATCAGTGAATGTACTAAACAGATGAAATGATGAGAAAATAATATCTTTAACAATTGAGAGTAACTTACAACGTCGTTGCACACGGCTTTGTGCATCTGGTTGGGTAATGAGTCGTACATTTTCCACTTCCCCTCACGCAGCTCAGCGATCAATAAAACCCAGTGTTGGTTGTTCAGAACAGGAATCATAATGATATCAGCTTTAAGAACTGCTTCTTTGGTGATATGAGTCAGAAATGATTTGGGGTTACCCATTTTATGATATGCCTGTATAATAAGACCAAGAGTTGACATATTCATATTATTGTTGAAATTCTTAATATAATTATACCTAGCTCGTTTAGATATT